CTGATATAAAGTTAACACTGTACAGTTTTTGTGTGCCTTAGTATTTTTTATTTATATACAAAAGAAATAAAAAATTTATTATTACACAAATATTCTTATAACTGATATGATTGTAACAATTCCTAATTATATAGAATTGTTAAACACTCTCCTAACTGCATCACAGTTCTCTGTAGAGATTGCAGAAAGTTTTCTCTAGCAAGTTCCATGATGTATTGCAGTAGAAGTACATATTTGCAGAGGATAAATTCCACAAAATTGTTGCAAATATAAAATGGAGAAATACATTGAAAAATAAGGTTAATGGAATGAACAAATATATGATTTGAAAATAAATGAAAAATTTCTGTATATTTTTTCTTTAAAAAATTCTAATTTCATGTTTTGTCTTTCTTTGGAAATCATGCATTTGCTAGTAACATGATCTATATTTTTAAAATTCTCTCTCATCTACAATTTTTACATTATCCAGAGCATTTCTTTTCCTTAAATTTTTAAAATTAATTTAGAATGAATTTATCTTGACCAAATTATCAAAGCAGATGCTTTACTTTTTTATTGGATAAGATTTTTTATTATTTTTCAATTAGCAAATTTCCTAGGACAACAGATTTCCTTCCCACATTAACCTAAAATCCCAATCAACAATGTACACAATAAAATAATACTGTACATGATAAGACTTATAAATGGATAATATAACTACTTAAAAGGTACATTCTTCTGTGACTGATCTTCAGTCCAGATGATTTTGGATAGTTGAATCTTTGACAATCTTTACAAATTTTGCTCCTTAGGATGAAAATGAAGATACTGTTCACCAGTGGCTGAGTGGATAAAACCACTGAACATTGGTAGTTTTGCCACGGTTTCACTCCTCACCACAGAAAACTCCATGGGGGTTTTTTGCTAAACAGGAAATGATGTCACAATTTTTTATCTCTTGTTTTATAAGGTTTAAACATGAGGAATAGAATAATAATAATAATGATGATGATGATGATGCAGTAAAATAATAAAATTACTCATAAAATTAACTAAACTAAACCAAACCAAACCTCAGATGGTTCAAACCTACATCATCTAGCTCAGTATCTAGCATCTTATTCACTCAACTATCACCACTATCACCATTCTGGGACTTAAAACTTCCAAAGACTTTTAAGCTAAACACTAAATTTTCAGAGGCCTGATTTTTGAAAATGTTTGAGAAGTGGGTCCTATTATTTGGATGATGAGCTCTTTGTGTTTAGAGCTGTGCTCAACAAGTTTCCTTTGAATTGAAGATCCGAAAGTCTGACCATCCCCTTGTTAGCAATAGGAATCATTTTTGAATAATTTTGTAATGAATAATTTCAAATAAAACATTNGATTTTGGATAGTTGAATCTTTGACAATCTTTACAAATTTTGCTCCTTAGGATGAAAATGAAGATACTGTTCACCAGTGGCTGAGTGGATAAAACCACTGAACATTGGTAGTTTTGCCACGGTTTCACTCCTCACCACAGAAAACTCCATGGGGCTGCCCATATGGAGTTTTCTGGGTTTTCTTCCTGTTTGTAACTCCTAAATAGGGGCTAGTTTCCCATAAAAGTCATCTTGCACAGCAATGAGACATGTTGCATCCCCTTTGGCAGACTGCCTATGTGTCGCATTGCTGTAACAAAATAAACAAAACCATGAAGAAGATACTACATTTCTAACTTTTTTCTTTTTTTCTTAATGTATCCATTGATTCATTTATGACATAAGCAAGCAATTACAGCTGCTGATTATTCTTCTTGAAGATAATTTAGCACTTTGATTTTGTCCACAATCTTTTTGATATTTTGCCACTATTTGTTTTGTTTACATGGCATTGTTGACTTATTACAAAGATTAAAAAAAAAATAATTAAAATCTTCACATAAAATATATAACTGTGATTTACTAATCATAAAATGGAATATTTACTATCTGCTTAAATGAATATGTTATAATAACGTGAAAAACTAAGAGACAGTATCTACTATTGCATTCTAACACTCTACAAAATGAACCAAAGAAGAAGAGATTTAAGATAAATATTATAAATTGTTTATTTCTTTATCTATTCTTTCACTGTTTTTGTTAATCCTTCTATCAATAAGCAAATTTTAGATTCGTGAGTATGAAAAATTTAAAACTAAATCATGAATATTGAAAATGCTCAACTACACAGCTTCTATTGCATATTACTTTCAACTAATTTTGAAAAAATTTAATGGTCAATTAATTGGTTGATTTATGCCTAAGATAAAATATTTTATATGCTACTATTAAATATTAAAACATTTTAATTTTCTTAGTTTTATCATTTATGTTTGAAAGATTGGACTGAATAATTCTCAACCATTTGTTTATTAGAATTTCATTCTGTACTTTTAAAAAGTTCTTGTCAATAGCATGATTTTTATTTTAAAAAATGTTTAGAAAATTTGCATTCTACATTACTTTTTAGTAATAGAATTTAAATGCAAATTACTAAATTTACATATGCTAAAATGTATAAGCAAAAAACAAATCAAGTCTTAGTCACTGACTCCATATNCAACAAGTTTCTTTTGAATTGAAGATCCGAAAGTCTGACCATCCCCTTGTTAGCAATAGGAATCATTTTTGAATAATTTTGTAATGAATAATTTCAAATAAAACATTTGATCACAATGTTTAAACAGTATTTCAAAAGTTCTGTCATGTCAAAATTTGTTTTATTCTACTGAAAAAAGTTATCCCAAAAAATTTCCCAAAATTTCTATCAGTCCATAAAAAAAATCCCAATCTGGAAACGCTAGGCAGCATTGTACAAAACTGCTTTCGATTCTCAATGTCACTTCCTATGTTTCTTCCTGAACTTGCCATGTGATGTCATGAAATCACTAGATGTATGGTGTATGGGACTACCATTGTATGGAAGCTCAACATTTTGCTGTTTTTCCCGAGGTGTGATTTGTGATTCAAGTTCACGCTGAATGTCAAAACAAGCAGGCTAGGATTTTATCGCTGTTTTAATAAAAATATCGCCAAGTGGAAAGTTTGGCACCATGCAGCGCAACCCCTGATGTAATGAGTATTTCACAGCACTTTGCTTATATTGTAAAGAAACTAATTCAGTTTGAAGATAAAAATTAAAACATTTATGTTTGATTGAAATGTTTCATTTTGTTTGTTTACATACTATTCATTAAGGTTTAATGAGTAATAATAAAACTGTTTGTGTCATAACTGTGTTTAATAGTGTTTATTATCTTTCTCTAAAGCATCTGGTTCACAAAAATAAAAAAATATTTTGAAATAAAGAAATCCCAGTTTTTTTATAAGTATTTCTGGAGCTTGGTCCTTCTCACAACTGTTCAAACCCAACTTATAAAGGATTAATTGAGACTTTACTATACAAGTTATCTTTTATGACTTTTTAGCTTATATTCTTGGATCACTCCATGTTGTTTCATTTCCATAAATCTAAAACCTGAATCTATAGCATAATTCTAAAATCCATTACAAATTAATCAATATATGTATAATATCAAAAT